TAAAGCAGACTGCCCCTCGGGCGGCGCTCCTAGGGGCCAGAACTTCCAGAGAATTGGGTTCCGAGTGAGCGCTCACAGACATCCTCACAAATGGGGCTGCTCTATTCCCGGTACTGTCCTGCAGCCACTGTCACCGTCACTGTATTGTTTCTGCCAAGCCCAGCCCTGGGCGGCTAAGGCAGGCCCACGGGTCCCCGGTGCGTCACGCGGGTCTCTGCCCACTCTGCCTGAATTCCTGTCTTCTGGGCCTTCGGTCAAAGTCCACAGTCAGACAGTCCAGATACCAAGAGCGTCTACAGACTGGTCACTGGGTCTTCTGTGGAGGTCTGGGCACGACCCTGATGCCAATAGTCCCTTCCAAGCGTGATCCTGCATGAGGGTCAAGGCATAGTGAGGAGGGAAGATCTTGGCAATTCTGGACTCCCGGGCCCTGGCCTGGGACTCACTAGTTGTGCAGCTTTGGGCCATCACAGACATGCTCTGGGCCTCAGTAACGTCCTCTGTAAAATGGGGATGATATTTTACCTAATTCACAGAACTGAGTGATGATGAAATGAGGCGAACCCACTCCTAGCACATCAGCCCCGTATACGGTAGGCGCGTGATGATACAGCCTTCCTCTCTTAACAGGAACTTAGACATCTGTCCTATGTCAACAGCTGCTCTATTCAGTCACCAGGGCCAGGGCTCAGTTTATGACAAGCATCAGGACTCAGTCTTAGTCTGGGGCCAGGGTCAGGGCTGTCAGGCTGATCCAAGAAGACCAGAGACACTCTGAGCATGATTAACTGGCCCTGGTCTCTGCCTGTCCCTCCCCTTGGCCTGGGTCAAGTCTGCCAGTGGGCAGAGGGAGACTGGTCCCTTCCCAGTGTGGGCTTGTCCCTGCTCATTAGCTCTGGGCAGCAGGCAGCCAGAGAAGCAGCTGCCAACTGGCAGCCCTGTCCTCCAGACTTTGGACAAGGGTCAGAGCCTGACAGGCCATCTCCTGGCGGCCGCTGCCCCACATGCCCTCCTGTCAGGGTCATTGTCTCCCTGGTACCTGCTGTGCTCTGACTGGCAGGTTGTGCTATACCAGGCTAGGAGGCAAGTGCTGGTGACAGCTCGGGCCCCAGGGCCTTGAGCCAGGTCTGGACCAGTCAGGGGCACTGGGCACTGGGCCTAAGTGTGGAACGTGTCTTGGGCAGTCCAGTTGGGGCTCTTGCTGTCACCACAGAACTGAAACTGTTTCCCAGGTCAGAACATCAACAAACTCAGCAAGCCTGGAAGAGCCTGGAGGCCCTACTTACACCCTGGCCCTGGGAGGACTGAGACTCAGAGGGGCAGGGCCTGGCCTGAGGTCACACAGGGAGTCAGGGCCAGTGCACTAGACCTCAGATTTCCTTATGGCATTCTGCTTCTGTGTCATGGGATTTCTTCCAGTAGGTCTCACTTGCATACCGTGAGAACTAAGGGTCACCCCTCACCTAAGTCACATGCTTTAGGCCTGTCTGCAGCTCCCCTGTCCACCTTCAACATGTCTACAACCCCTAGAGACAGGTTCCCAGTACCCAGATGAGACACTCAGGCACCAAGAGGGGAAACAACTTTTCCAAAGTCACGGAGCAAGCTAGAATCGGGCCAAATCCACGCATTCATCTCTTTATTCATTCATTCAACAATCATTTATGACCACTTCCTACGTTCCAGCTATGGTGTTGAATAGCAGGGATAGAAGGTTGAGCAAAACCCATCTGGGGGCTGCACATGGAATGAGTAGGGCAGGACGGGGAGGCACTGACCAAGAGAGAGCCAATAATCATAGAGAAGCACACAGGACATGTGAAGTTGCAGCTGCGATGCTGGAGAAACCCAGAGTCCTAGAAAAGTGTGTGATGGGGGTGGGGGAGTGGCAGGGGTTGGGGGGTAGTTGACCTGGTCTGGGAGGTCAGATGATGACTGAACTGAGATCCAGAGAAGGGAAAGTTGGGTATTCTGGGGGAAGGAGCGTGCAAAGGGCTGGGGTGGGAGGAAACAGGGTGTGCTCAGAGAACTGAGCAGTGCCCAGTGTGGCTGGAGCAAGAGGGAGGTGGGGGTATGTAGCTGGGAGCCGAAGGCACTAGCAGAGACCTCAGGGTGTTGCTCCTAGATTCCCTCCTCCCTGGGAGGCACAAGAAGCCACCAGAGGGTTCAAAGAATGGGTTCCTTTAGTACCTTTGAAAGGGGTTTGAGGAAGGGCAAGATTAGTTATACCAAGAGCAGAAAAATAGTGAAGTAGCCTAAGGGAGTGAAGCTGACAGAACGGAGCAGCCAAATTCAAGAGAGAGGAGAAAAGTGGGCACACCTTGGGGTGAAAGAGCATGATTACCGACACCAGGCCGGGCATGAGAGCACATGGAGAGAATACAGAGAAAAAAGAGTGACCCCATGGAGACCTGACCCTGGTGGTAACCTCTGAGGTAACCCGAGGCAACCTCGGTGGTAACCTGAGGCAGGCCAACGTTTAATGCCAGGGAGAGGAGACAAAGGGAAGAAAAGGCTTCCACCAGGACAAGTGGTCATGAGGGGCTAATGCCACTAGCAGGTCACATGAGGCCCCACTGGCCACACATAGGCGATCCCTGGTGGCTTTCAAGCAAGCTCTCAGTGGAGAGCGGGGTCAGGTTGGAAGGTCAGTGGCTCAGATGGAAAGCAGCACAACCACAAGGTGAGGGAACAGACCTGTCAGTCTGGGATAGATGACTCGAGGACACGCCCTGTTACTAGATAGGCTCAAGGCTGCAAACTAGGGAGGCTCCATCTTTGGACCCTCTTCAGCTCCCCACTAAGAGGCTGAATGTGCGCGAATGCCTTTGGGGGCACTGCTTGAGGTTCAGGCTTCAAAACCCCCCAACCCTAGCACCACAAGCCTGCAACACACCCAAAGAGGAGGGTGGAACTGGACAGACAGGAACCCCCCCCCAAGATCCCACCTCCAATTTAGGGTCAGGCATTATGTGATGGCAGAAAGCAGGCGCAGCCTAGAGACCAAGCAGGGACACCAGAAAACAGGGACAACAAAACGGTGACAACATTTTTGAGAGTTTAAGTACATGTGTATGTCTGTACTTACATCTAGACATATATATATATATATTTAATACATCTCTTAAGCATCGAAAACACTCATCGTAAGAAAAAGAACAACTTCAGGGGACTCTGTTACTGTGTATTTGGAATTAGACATATGGGGGACATCATATTCTTTTCCAGGGTTTAGCTTCTGAGAGTCCCGTCCTCCCTCTGGGATTCCTGCCTGGGGCTGGGGGACGGCACCGAAAGCCCCTTTCGGGTCCTGACAGCTGGGCCTTCTTTCCCGGAAGCCCTGCCTTCTGCTTTCATTTGCATCTTATTAGCACCCCCCTCCCCACCCCCCCAGCAGCTCGGCCTCCAGGAGCCCAGGAACGCAGACTGCAGGCACCGGGTCTGGCTCCCTGCCCCCTCCCTGGGTGGATCAGGGTGCAGTCCCAAGCTCCCTGCCCGCCACCCCCTCTGCTCGCCCCTCCCCAGCTGGGCTCCCCACCCCTGTGTTTCCATGGCAACCGATGCCTGAGCCGGACCCAGTGCCTGCAGAGGAGCAAAGCAGCCACCCAGCTCCCTACCCTGCCGCCCAGACTGCATTGGTGATAGGCAGGGCCTCAATCTCCCGAGATGATTGGTGATAATTGGTTTATGGAAATAGCTGAGGGGAGAAGGCAGCTCCCGGCTAGATACCATCCTCCCTGCCAAGCCTGCTCTCTGCCACCTGTCCCTCGTCACCACAAAATAGAGTTGGGGGAGGGGAGAGAGGAGGCTGGGCTGGTACTAATGGGCTTTTGAGACAAGCAAGTGTTTCACCTGTTGGTCTCCAGCACACTATCTCCCTTCCTCCACGTGGCCTGTGGGGGCCGTTGTCATAGTAACGGTGCTTGCCTGACCCCTAAGTCTGTGCTCAGGCCTGTGTTGGCTGCATTGTTGGGGAAATGGAGGAGACCTGGCTCCGTACTCCTGGAGCTCCAGGTTGGGGGAACGGAGGGATAGAATATAACTTAATTTCTGGAAGTATTTGAGACAGGTGCTCTGGAGCTCCGGAGTCGGGAGAGCTCAGCTCTGGTGGTTGTCTGGAGCACAGCTTTGAAGGTGGGATTTCAGTCAGCGTTGGGGAGACAAGGCTGGTGTGGGGCACTCTCCAAAAGGAAATGTGAGCAAAAGCCTGGAGACGGGCACTGACTGTACTCAGTGCTGGTCGGTGGAGGGGGGCGGTGTCCGTTAGCCTGGGGGGGGCCTAGCTCCCAGTGTCTACCCAGGAGCCAAGCGATGGCCAGCTTGCGGGAGGAGCGCTTTATGACCAAGACCGAGAAGATGTCCAACATCCACATGGAAAGCTGGCTGCACCAACGCTGATGCCCTTCTGGGAGACGTGAGGCCTGTGAGGTGGGCAGCCGGCATGGCACGGCAGCTTCACTTAGACGTGCAGCTATGAGATGTGTGTACCTGACTGCGATTGACTGGAAGGGACGCGGGGTGCAGTAGAAGACTAGAACGAGGGCAGCCCCATTAGAGCAATAACCAGAGAAACGGTGGGACCAAGGAGGAGGACAGTCATGCGGCCCCCACCCCAGGACTGGGCGTGGTGGGACAACCAGGAGAGGCAGACCCCAGCTCTTCTCCTCCCTTTGACCATGCCCCCACCCCTGAGCCCAGACCAGGCCTCTGCATCCAGGGGTTCGGCCCCCTGAGGCTGAGGTATGGGCAAGCCCTGCCCAGCTGGTTGTGTCTCGCAGAGAGGCTCTTCCCTCCTTCCTCAGCTCAGGAGAGCAGCTTCCAGGCAGCAGGGAAGATGCCAGAGCTCACATCTCCGGGGCCCACAGGTCCTTGTGATTCCCTCTTGGCTTCCCCTCGGGGTGTCACAGCTCCGATCCTAAACATTTGGGTGCTCAGATTCTATCCACAGTCTGGCTTCTGCTCTAGCCCACGCCAGCCCTGCCCCACTCCCAGGTACTTACACTATCACGTAGGGCCACGGCTCGGAGCCATCTGTGCAGGCGGGGAGGTTGGTGGCCCCGTGGAGTGTGACCATGACGGTCTCCTTACCGGAGGGAGACAGGTGGCCAGTGTTAAGGTCTGTGCTCTGCTGGGGGGTGTCTGAGAGGGCCTCGGGGCTCTCGATGACCTGTGGAGGGAGTCGAGTTGAGTGACTTTTCCAGCGTGGTCCCCTCCTCCACTGCCTTGCCCCTCTGGACCCTTCCCAGCTCCCTCCAAGTGCTGTTCCTCTATCATCCCCCCACCCTACCTGGAACTACAGGGACACTCACCTTTCACCCCATTTTCTCCCTACTTTTGTCCCACACCCTCCATCTCTTCATCCCTCTCTTGCCTCTCCTGCAGTTCTGGAGCCATCCATTCCTGCAGAATGACGCGGGCCACCCCACCTTCCAGGCTCGGCCCTACCTCTCAGCCTTGCTTTTACAGGCACTCTTGCCTGTAAGTCCTAAATCCCACTTGTTTGTGGGGTCCCAGCAACTGACCCTCCTCCATTTCTCCTGTAGCCTCGTCTCAGTCCACCTGTCACCTCAGGTCCCTCCTGGGCACAGCCCTTTACAGTTTGCAAAGCTTATGCACACCCACGGGTCCTCAAGTACAATACATGGAGGGGAATTAAAGCATCTGTCTAGATGCCTCGTCCACCTTCTACCCAGAGAGCCCTGGGCTAGGCAGGAGAGGGGCCTGCTGCCCAACGTGTTTCCCAAGTTGGTTGCCACAAACACACACATGTAAGGGCACGACAACCCTACAGCTTATGGATTCGTGGCCCAAAGGACCCCAGGGCAGAGAGCTGCACGGGAGACAGAAGCCAGGCTAGGGCAGTCAGGAAGGCACTTGGGAAGAGGAAGCTCTAAAGGGTTTGGAGAACATGCCCAGGTGGAGCCTGGAGGACCGGCCAGAACGCAGAATGCTGGAGTAAGCACAAAGGGGGGAGGGGACAGACTGGCTGATTCTGGAGGCCCTTTGTGGTGAACAAATACATAGGGGAGTGTGGACATGGGGCTGCTGGGTCTTGGGGTACTCTGGGACTCACTCTGCTCCATCCGTAGTACCTGGAGCTGGTAGATGACCCAGATGGACCCTTGCTTGCTGATAGGAGGACACGCCCTCTTGTCTCCCCTGCTAACTAACTGGCACGAGCTGATGGGGAGCCCCCACCCTCCTTCAGCCTAGGCAGGGTGCATGGAGACCAGCAAGAACCACGTCCTGTTAAACAGAGGGGAGGCTGAGGGGCTTGGGCTGACCTGGACCTCGCTGGAGGTCCTGTCTGGTCCTCGCTCTGCTTCTCGTGTGAGGGCCAGGTTCCCTACACTCTCTCTGCTCCCACCTTAGGGTCCCTGCATGGTGGCTCTTGGAAGCCTCAGCTACCGGAAAAGGGAAGGATCTGGGCACTGCAGGGCAGGTACTTCATTCAATTCTCAGGACAAGGTGGGTGACCTCGAACGCGAGCCCTGTGCAGTTCTGACCCATCAGCACGGCCGCCAGCTCTGCCTCCAAAGCACATCCAGAATCGGACCCCATCACGGTGTCCACTTCGAGCTCTCAAGTTTCACTCAGACCAGATCGATCGCTTGGCTCAAAACCCGCGCGGCTCCCTGTCTCACTCGGAGGCCGCCACTGCCTGTGAGGACAGATGCTCACCGGCCCAGGAAGCCGACTCACCTCTTCCTTGGCCCCGCTCACTTCTCCAGGGTGGCCTCCCACTGTTTCCCTACACACACCAGGCGGCCCCCGCCACTCAGCCGTGGCCCTGGCGTCCCCTCCACCTGGACAGCTCTTCCCCACGCCCCCATGTCCATCCCTGTGACTTGCTCCTTCACTTCCTGGAGGTCTGAGCCCCTATCTGACAGGCCTTCCTGGTACAGGCTGTGGTCGGGCTGTCTGACAGTAATAACTCATTAGGAGGTGAGAACACCTCAGAGTGCCAGCCCTACAGAGACCCTGCCCCGCCTCAGGATGCAATCCCCCTCCCCCAGCAAGGACCCAGCAGGGCCTAGCATCCTCTTCAGAGGTGTTGAGAGTTACCCCTCACCCCTATTCCCCTGCCAGGCCCCCGTGGGAGGAGGCAGAGGGAGGTCAACTCTCAGTTACACTGTGAGTGGACGACACCCTCCCCCATAGGCCAGAATGCCGCCTTCCCGGTGTCCCACCCTGGCTGCACACCCCCATAATACACCTCACTCCCCAGCAGGCTTGGCTCCTGGCTCAGTGATAGGGGAACAGGAGCAGCAGTCGGGCTCAAGAGACCCGGGTCAGTCCCATTCTGGCCCCAGCTCTCTGTGGGCCTCTCTGAACCTGCATTTCCCCACCTGGTGAGCGGAGCTCTCTGGAATAGCTTGTAATTCAGTCTTCTCAGTAATTGGATAAAGGTTCCTGCAGGGAGTTAGGAGAGGTGACGAGAGTCTCTCTCACCACAGATTCCCAGCAACTGCCTGAAACGGTGTCCCCTCATAGGTGTGAGGGCACAGGGCCTGCTATGAGCTCCTCAGTGGCCCAGACGTGTGGGCCTGAGAGCTCACACTGACTCCCTGGCAGCCCTGGAGTGACCCAGGCACTGTGCAGACCAAACCATGAGTCGTCCCCCTCAATGGCCTCTGTCCTCTACCCCCCGTGTGCCTCTCCATCTAAAACAATCTTCCCGGAAATAAAACTTGCTGGGGGGTTGGCGAGAACCTTCCAGTTTCACTTCTGGGCATGAGGCCAGCTGCCAGGTTGGCGCCTCCTTGCAAAGCCCACAGGCATGTGCCCGCTGGGCAGGCCGGGCCCAGGGCCAGGGAGGCCTGGGGCCAAGGGGGAGGGGAGGCGTTGGGCCAGGGTCTCCAACTGGCCTGCCTTCCCTCCCGCCATCTGGATGGGAATCTGCAGGCTTCCCTCGGAAACGCACTGCATTGAACCAACATGTCCACCCTCACCCCCACCCCATCGGAACAGAACATGCACATGGTGGGATACATACGGGTGACGGCAAACCCCTCCTAAGTCTCAGGCCCCACAAACCCAGCTGTGGGGGTGTGATGGGTCCCCAGGAGGAATTTACTTCCCTTAAATGTCTCCCTATAGACTGGGAGCCAGACTGATACTAGCTCAACTTTGGCTTTTCAGGCTTACGCTGGGCTAACCCCTAACACCATGAGGGTGCAGAGATCAGTGGGCAATGTTTGCAGACAGGACGTTGCTGGTGGCCGGCAGGGCTAGGAGGTGAGCTGAAGCCTACCTGGTTCCTGAGCACAGCATGCTCAGCTGCTCTCCTGGGCTGGCAGATGGCAGGCTCAGAGGTTGCTAATTCCAGTGCCTTACCCATCCTGACAGTTCGCCTTGCCCTCAACAAGGCAGGATTAGCCAGCAGATGTCCCGAGGGATCTGTGACTACCTACCAGGACAGGGATGTGTGTGATGGGGGCAGGAAGACTGGAGTAACAGTGAAGGGGTTAAGGGCCCATGTGTTTGAGCTCTCAGGGGTGGGGGATTAAAGTGGCTTTGGTAGGGAGAAAGATAAAAAGAGACAAACTCCTCTACCTTTCCAGAGCTCTCTCTTCTGGCACCGTGGGAAGCTGTGGGAAGTGCATCCTCCAGAGTCAGGTGCCAGGGGAGCAGGGGCTGAGCTGGGAGGCACAGGGTCTGGCTGCCTCTGTGCAGTCATTTGGGGACACTGTTAGACTCCAGTGGGCCTCAGTTTCCCCAACTATAATGTAAAGGCTTTGAGTTAAAAATGGTCCCTCAAGTTCCTTCTAGATTCTGAGGTTGCCTGAGAGTCGTGATGGCCACAGTAAGGCCCTTTTCTAGGCAAGAAAACAGGTTCAGATGTGTTAGGTCCTTGCACGAAAGTGCACAGCTCAGCCAGCAGGGGCAGAGCTAGAAAGGGTCCACATGTGTCTACCCCGCCTTCTGTCTCTGCTCCAACCAGAGTTCTTTGCAATGAGGTGCTTTTTCTGGGCTACAATGTGTATCTCCTTGGGCGCATGACCAAATTCTGCAGCATTTATTGGTACGAGCAACAGGAAGTTTTCATGTGTGGTATTTGGAGAAGGAGAAGCTTTTCAAATGATGATGTAAAAGTCAGAAATCATGAAGGAAAGGATTGATAGATTGTGATTACATTTAAAAATCCATTATCAATTTCTTGAGTGGTCCAAAATTCACCACAATGCAAAGAGAAGACAAACAGGAGAAAATATTTGCAATGCATCAAAAAGGATTAATAGCACCAGTCCACAAAGAACACTGACACCTATAAACATCACCGTGATGAAAGACCTGAGTGGAGAATTGCAGAAGAAGAAATACAAATAGGTAATACTATATAAACTTTATGAACACCCTTTAGGAGAGTTTTACCCAGCTATTCCTAAAGCTAAAATCAAATGAAACAAATGTGGTTCCTCCTCAGGGTTCCCAGGGACACTCCCTGGGTCCCCAGTCCACTTTGGGTGGGCAAGTGGGAGCTTCAGGAACTGGCTGGTAATGGAGGTCCCCCAGGTCAGGCCAGCCCAGCACCCAGTCTTGGCATCCCAGGAGGCTTACAGGGGGTGGGGGAGTTAAGTTATAGGTAAAGGACACCGGAACCAGACACCAAGGTCAGGGGAGTAAAAGAAGAAACTGGGGCCTGGGCAGCCTAGCTACTTGTTTATTTAACCTGGAAGCTGTTCCCAAGTTGGCCAGTCCTGTGTGCCTTGGCCTTATCTCTTTCCACCATCCCTGACACCAAGCGACACCACAGAGGGCCGGGGCTCAGAAGGGCCGGGAGCAGAAGGCAAGGGAGCCCCAACACCGAGCTGGTGATGTCTCACTGCACTGAGCTTCTAGTCCTCCTGGCAGGGTTGTGCTGCCGGGTCACAGCTCTTCATGACGCCCTACTACAGGGCACATGCCATTCTGAGCGCTAAGGATACAGCAGCGATCAAACAGACCAAACCCACTTCTCCCCAGGGGCTGGGGCACTTGTGGCCCAGGGCAGAGGGCTGGGCCAGGACTGGGAGATGTAACAAGGCCTCTTCCTGGCTAGTGAGGCAGCCAGCTAGAAGGAGGGTACCGGTGGGCCATGTCACTGGGCTCCCTGAGCCTCTGATCTGAGCCACAAATTCCAGGCAGGGGCGTGCTACACTCACTTTCTGCCACATTTCTCTCCAGGTCACGGGGTCGGGCAGAAACAATCAGCAAAGGTAGTAGGCAGAGTGACTGGGCCGCATTTCAGACCCCACGTGGCCCAGCCACCCAGGACACCCCACCTGGAGGAGCCACAGAGACCACTTCACTCCCCACGTCGCCGCTGTGAGGCTACGTCAGGATAGAAGAGGCACAGGAAAGGGCTGTGAAGAAGAGACAGTTAAGGCAGGGGCGTGGCCACGCCTCCAGGCCTCACCTTTTTCTGCTTCAGTCCCATTCTCTCCAGGGCAGGGGAGTCCTTGCTGAGAGTCTCGGGGACCCACGCCTGGTGCTGGGCGGGGATCTTGTATCAGTCTTGCCCAGACAGAAAACCTGGACGCCTCGGAGTCTTTGGGGGTGGTGAACAGTAGAGTGTCAGTATGGTCTGGGGGGCCCACACATCAGCCTTGGGAGCCAGAGAGGAGGGAGGACGGTGGGCCAGGGAGCCGGGGTCTAGAGTTGTCTTAGCAGCCAGACATCCTGCGGATGGAGGTGCCATGGGGGTTCTGGGCCATGGCGAGCTGAGCAGGGGTCAGCAGCTGGACAACTGGCTCCTGGCACCCCCGGGAAGGTAGAGACAGGGGTGGCCCTCCTTCTGCCCAGACCTGGGGAAACTGCACTTTTCACCCGGCTGGATCACCTAGGCAACGCTGTGTGACGTCACAGGGCAGGGCAGGGGCCGCAGAGTCCTTCCCAGGTTCCGGGAGCTGCATCCTGCCTGCCTCTGCTTTCAGCCCTCCTTGCCACTCCTCGCGAGGGGGCGGAGGATGTCCTGGGCAAACTCCATGCAGGCTTTGTGGACGCCACCCCCACGACACCGGGAACTACAAATCCCAGGATCCCCAAAGGGAAGGTTGCGAGGACCTGAGGGTGGAGTTAAGCAACTAGGCTCTCGGTTTGGGTATTTAACTGGCCATGTTGGGGTGGTGGGGGACAGCCGCTGGCTTGGCCAGGAGGCGTGCTAGGTTTTGGCCAGCTCGGCGGGTCAGCTGAACAGGTAGGACGCATTTACGAACTTATCTCCCTGAGTTATTCATTTCCCCAGTTCCCCTTCCCTTGTCAATAAACCTGTCATCGACCTTTTGCGTGTGTCTGCAGTTTAGCATTCACAAGGCCCCTTAAAGCACGTGGGTGAGGACCCACAGTCAGGCAACCCCATTTTATATCGGGGTTTGCCCTGTAACACTCGCACCCCAAACAGTCCATCACCCAAGATCACCAACCACCCCGTGTGCTCAGACCTGTGCTGGTCACACCACAGAGAGGGAGGCGGGCCAGACACTGCCCCAAGCGGAGCTGCAACTTGCCCGCCTTCTGCCTCCTTGGCTGCCAGTAGTCCTTCATTTGGTTAATAATGATAAACACAAAATGCAAGAGGGAGAGTTCTTCTTGGGGGTGGGTGGGAAGATGGAGAGAATGGAGAAAGAACACACAAGCACCCACATTACCGGTAACTTTGTCTCTGAGATCGGGTGGTCCATTATTTTATATTCGATTACGGTCTTACATTATTTGACGTAAATTGCAAACAAAGTGCCATTTATGGGTCAACATGGCTCTAGGGTATGGACCAAAGATGATGATGAATCCAATCCTGAATTCTGCAAGACATTGCTACAAGGATAACAGCTCTATTTAATGAGCTTGTCCCCCATGCCAGGCACAGTTTTAAGTGCTTTTCTCTACAGTGACATCGCCCTTGGCCTGGAGGGGAGGCGGGGTGGTCTGGACTGGGCCTTACAGGATGACCTGAAGTCCTGGGCTAGCAAAGGTGAGATTTGGGGTACTGGGTGGGGTTGAAAGGTGTCTGGGAGACCCCTGTGACGTTCCTCATTTTTCTGCCAGCTGCTTTTCAGCTCCATTTCAGGATTCCTCCCCTCTCCCTTGACTTGGGGATCAGCAGCAGGTCCATCTGGCAGCAGAAGACAGGAGCTTTGCAGAGGCCCCGTAGCTTCCTATCCATCCTCTACCCCAGAGAGATAGGGAAGAAGGGTTTCTCCCCAATTTTAAGACAGGCAAAAAACAAGCCCTCACCTTTGATTAGAACTGAAGGGAGAAGCCAAAGTCACCCAGAGAGTTGGGAATGAAGCCACGAATCCATTCCTGCTGGGCCAACACTGTCAACAGTATAAAGAGGGTCTCAGGGGATGGCCCCCCAGTTTCCCCAGAGTGTGCCCCCTTCTTAGTCCTGGAGGCTGACACACAAGGTGGGATGAGGACCAGTGCCGTCCCAGTGCCGACAGGCCCTCTAGGCCCAGTTCAGGGCTGAGAGGCTGGCCAGGAGCTTAGAGAGCAAACGCGAAGGAGGCTTTCAGGGTGCCAGAGTGCCTCCACCACCCCATGCCTCCTGAGATTCTGCACCCTAGGTCCCCTGCCTCCCTTGAGGTGGCCCCAGTCACCTGCTGGCCCTGGGCTCCAGGCTCTCACCCAGAGGCCCACCTAACATCTCAGCTTTCTGCTGCTACAGCCCTCAGCCGTATACCTTCCTGCCTGGGAGAAAGTTAATGCAATTGAGAGCCAGTTGCAGCCGTCTGGCCCCAGGGTCCTGCACTCAGCAGTCAGGGAAGGAGGGCCTTCCCTCTACCTCCCTGGCTGCCCAGATCCTTAGGTCAAGGGCCCCTGGGATACTCACTCCTGGGCCACAAGAACCTCCCCAGAGCAGCTTCCTTACCAGTGAGAGGGCCATCAACCTAGGGCTTGGGTGTGGCTGTCCTACTTATTTATTAGCAGTATAAATCCCAACTATTCTATGTGCCTCCCAGCTACCCTTTCTGCCTCCAGCTACTTTACCTGCTTCCTAGATATCCAATCTACCCCTGAGCTACTCTACCTGTCTCCAGCTACTCTACCTGCCTCCTAGCAAGCCTACCTGTCCCCCCAGCTACTCTACCTCCCTCCCAGCTACCTTAGCCGTCTCCAGCTACTTTACCTGCTTCCTAGCTATCCTACCTGCCCCCAGCTACTTGACCTGCTGCAAGCTACTCTACTCCAGATATTCTACCTTTCAAGTAAGGGGAGTTCTACCTCCCCAGCCAAAGGAAGTGAGCCTGTTCCCCCAAATGCCCAGGGAAATCTTCTGCTCCTTTGTCCAGGAGCCAGCTCCAAGTTTTGGTGACTCCAATTCTAGAGTGAGAAGTAGGTTATGATTGATCTCACAGCTAGTGAGATCTTCCTTTGATCTTCCTTATGATCTTCCTTTCCACCACCAACCCCCCCAACACAGAGGACACTTGGAGCTGCATCATTTGGGGCCAGAGGTTTAACACAGCCATGAGGAACCCACAGCTGCAGAGGGCAAGCCACTGGGCCGGACATGGGGCTGGCTCTGGGGGAAAGTAGGGGTCTGCTTCCTCTCTGGCTTTGTGCTGGGCAGCAGGGAGAGTCTGGACAGATATGAGGCTCATAGCTGTCCACACTCCCTCAGGCCATGACTCGGGGCCTAGCTTCTGGGGAGACAGCCCTTTGGGCCTAACTATCCATGCACTACGTACCAGGTAAGTGTGTGTCCCACACTCCCCATACTTGGCCTTCCTTCCCCCTTTGATGTGCCTCCCACTACCCCTCCCTCCCTGCATCCTTTGGGCATCTGAATTGGGCTGCTGGATAAGGAAAGAGATGGACAAGGTGAGAAACTTAGTGTGATTTTGTAGCCAATGGAAGTTCAGAGCTGTGTGGTCTTGGGTAAAATACTAACCCTCTCAAATAATTGAACTGGAGCATTTTCTTCTTCCTACCAGGCCCCTATCTGATGCACAGCTGCGCGAGGCCCTCTGTGCTCTCCCCTGACACAGCCTGCCATTGCCACCGGCATCCCCGCCGCCAGCACCGTCATTCCACTGACATTTAGTGAGCACTTACTCCATGCCAGTGCTGCGTGCTGCCCAGAGCATTCCTGCACTTCCTGTGTAACCCTCACATGCATGCTCCCCAGCTGTCACTGTCGCTGCCCCAGTTTTTAAGATGAGGCTGTAAATGGTCTGAGAAATAAAGGCACTTGCCCACACTGCTTCAAAACAGCAGAGCAGGGGGCCTCCCCGGTGGCGCAGCGGTTGAGCGCTGGCTTGCAAAGCTGCCGGCGACCTCTGCGGCGCCGGTTCGATCCCCGGCTGCTCCCCGGCCACCGGAGGAGGGTCCCACATGGCGCTCAGACCTCTCCTGCCGCCCGCTGCTCCCCTCAGCAGTGTACTTCGGTCCTTCTGCCTGCTCTGCTCCCTGCTCTGGCTCTGGTGAATTCTCTCACCCTCCCGCGCTTCTGACTGTACCCAGTGCATGTATAAACAAAACGAACAAACAAACAAACAAATAAATAAATAAAAACATGCCTCTATTTAAAAAAAAAAAAAAAATACTCATAAAAAAAAAAAAAAACAGCAGAGCAGGGATTTGAGTCCAGCCCTGCTGGCTCTGCAGCCTGAGGTCACAAGCACAGAAATGTACTGCTTTTTCCTAGAACTCCAGAGAAAGGGTTCACTTCTCTCCTTCCTTTGCTCCCAAAACTGGGCAACATGAAAAAGGTCAAGCACAGACACAGAACACCTGGCCCTTTGAAAGAGGCTAGACAGACGCTCCGTGACAGCGCAGGCCATAGATTTGGACTAATGTTGAAGGAGAGAGAGGTAGCGCATCCTGAAGGCACAGCTGGGCCCGTGAAGCCGGGCAGGGCAGTGTCTAGAGGACACTTCCGTCCGGCACAACAGGTGGCAGGGTTGTGACCACCGAGGCTGGTGGGTTCACAGTGCCCTCGGCTGTGACTGGGATTAGCAATAGGAGCTTGCTGGAGTTCAGCTCATCCCCTTGGATGCCGGCTGCCTGCTGGCCGAGTGGGCCTCAGTGGGGCCCTGGAGCCAATGGAGGCTGCCCTCTGACCTTCCCCTAGCTTCTTACTCACAGAGGTGACCTGGGTCAGCTCACTCAGTGGCTCCTGGGCTGAAGGTGTGCACCTACACATTTTGTCACAACTTCACTTGATATCCCGACCCAGTCACTGTGCCTGTTCTGGTGGATTCTGGTGCCTGGAACTGACCTTCCTGGCTCAGCACCACCACGGTGCAAAAGGAGTTGCAAGGCAAAAAAGCATGATGACTTGGAGTCCTCCAGGTCCTGCTTTAACCCCAGCTCGCGGGGCCCTGCAGGGAGCAGTCAGTAAGTCCCTTGACAACTTGGGCCTCAGTTCTCATCTGCAAAGCAGGAGCGGCGAGGATCAGGTGAGGGTATGGATTCCCAGCATATGGAAAGCTGCCCCAAAGTGAGCCTGCCCCCACATTCGTGCCAGCTGATGCCTATATAGAATCTCCGTGACTCCAGCTTTGGCAAAAGGAGACTTGGGGTCTCACCACATCCATCTGCTCAGCAGGCATGCTACTGACACACGGTACTGCAGGGGCCTCTCGGTGTTTGGTAAGCAGAGCTCTGGCGTGGGGCGGTCTGGGTCCCAATGTCACGTCATGAATCACTGCTAAAGATACAGCGGGACTTACGAGCGCTTTTCTTTTGAAAAATCAATAACTCGCTAACAAGGGTCTGAATAAAGGGGTAAGCAGTGAAGGCCACTGGCCATTCCCTTCCATCAGGAGGGGACTGAATTGGGAGACCTCCAGGGAGGAGTGTGAGGGGTCCACGCATAGGGCAGAGGGGCC